CAATAGCGCGTACTGTTCGGTTTAGCAGGAGCTCTTGAATGGCAGTGGGAAGAAGGGGACGGTTCACGCGGGCTAACGGCGCCTTTCTTTTTCCTCTTTACACGTATCAGCCAGGAAACAAACCCTTCTGCTCGAGGGCAGCGTTTGTCCTTCAAGGGAAAACTATTTCTGCAGGTTATGCTGAGCCTTTAGTAGCAAATAGTGGAGCTTCTTTTGGCGTTTGCTTTTGGAGGGGGATTTTTCCTCTGCTGGTGAGGTCTCTATGGCAGAGGCCTGCTATTAACTGAGAACACGAGGAAGGAAGATTTTAGGGAAAACCTTATCCTGTAATGGGTGTTCTCGTGCCCCTATTCCTTCCAAAGCATGCCCCTGGAATACATAAACCACTAACCTCTAAGCAGTGCAGTGATTCCTGCGCTGTTCCTGTTTTCCAAGCTCCTGTGCCATCACACGGAGAGCAGAGTGGACGTTACAGAGGGATTGTGGAGTTCCTGTTGCCTTCGTTATGCAAAATGAGTAATGGAAATACGCTCTGGTACTGAAGGGCTCGAATGTCTCATGCAGAAATTTGCCTGTACAAGTCTCCTGCCAAATTTGAGAGCAACTCAGTGTGGGTCCATCACTCCTGAAGCAATTTTCCCACTTTCTTAAAGGTCCTCCCTTCCCAGGGTCTTTTTGGAGACCTGGTGAAGTCTGATATTATAACATTTGGATGTGTCCTGATCCAATATATCACATTGTACTGTAGTGCCCGTTCCTGTTACCAAACTGAGCCTCATCTTACAGTTGTTCTCCTGTTGTTCCTGCTGGGAATTAAAATAGGTTACTTGGAAAACATGAAGCAGGTACAAATACTGAATATATCCGTAAAGGAGTAAATCAGCCCTGGAATAATGATATGAGAAAGAATAGTAAATGTGCTGGAAGGATGTTAGTATCTGTAGGAGCTACTTGCTACTGATTTTTCCTTCCACTTGGACACAGATCAGGATGTAAACGTGCTCAAAGGGCCAGGACAAACCTTGGGGGTGAAGGGGTGGAGGAATCGGGCTTGGAGTTTGAACTTCAGTTTTGTGGAAAATGCAATGCTTCCACTCCAGATAGGGCTTGGATAGAAGGGTGATTCATCCCCCGTTGAAGCCAATGCCAGCGTTGCTTTTGATTTAATCAGAATCGAACCTTCCGGGATTATTCTCACTCGCAAACTGGACCGGTCCTTCTCAGGAGAGGAACCACAGCGCTTTTGGAGGGCTGCTTCTCTTCTTACTTCTCCTTAATTGCTTCTTTTCTTTAGTGCAATTGGCTCAGTGTCACCAAGCCGGGTTGAAAACTGAATCCCTCCTGTTGCAGTGCTTTTGGAACATCTGGCACAGCTGTTGTTTTGACCCCAAGGCAGGAGCACAACCTCCTGTTCCACTTGAAGCTGACACCAACTGTGCCAACATGAACAGGGCTGTCGGCTCCTTTTTGGAAGCCATCAGAGCTCAGGCATGTGGTGAGGAACCAGAGTGGTCCCACTGGCGCACGGTCAAGGCAGAAGAAAGACGGGGATGTGGTAAAGAGCAGTCCCTGCTTCGGGAGCTCCACTAAGGAAGAGGCTACTCGTGTCTTCTTTAAATTGCTTCCTTAGTGAGTTTTAAGTTTAGCTGCCCATAAACCTTAATGATGCCCATGGCACAAGGGGGTTTCGTGCCTCCACTTCAGTGAGATCTGTAGAAGTGGTTCATCCAAACGGACCTGGTGCACATGGATGGACGTAGGAATCTGTTCAAGCAGCGTTTCCTTGCCTGGCACCACAGGCACAAGACTATTTCTCCTTCAACAGAGAAGATCATGGGGGTAGCTGAGTGAGATCAAGATCCCAAAGGAGCTCTCTTGTCTCTGATCAGTAATACACGATCTTGAACTCTTTCGACTTATTCTAAGCTGCAGGAACTTAAAACTTTTTATCTGTAAATCTCCGTTCTCTGTGCACCTTCCCAGTTTCCTTTCAGCTCTAAGGCTTAATACTACTGCTTATACTTTCATCCCTTAAATACTCAGAGCCTTAAATTGTCTCTGGTATACAAGATAATCAGTTCTCTAGTGTGTTAATCCTCATTATGTGCCTATTAAAACAAAGATTAAATCAAGCATTAGAGTGCCTCCTCCCGTTATGAAATCTGAAAAACAGGGTTGAATTTGGGAGGGTGGAGGGAGGAAAACCACCAAACACCTAAAAAATTGGTTCTTGAGCTTCAGTGGGAATAAGAAGCAGCAAGACTACACTGAAGCCCAGGGTATGGAAGCATGGTTTTATTAAGGGAAGGGGAAGATAAGGAGTGTGGTGTGTGAGGAATAAGGTTTTAGGGCACCGAGAGGGTATTTGCATGTGCCTACGTGAGGTGCAGTGTGTTTGTACGTGGGTTCAGGGCTGTGCACACGTGCGTTGGCAAGCAAGAGGCAATGCCTCCCATCTGCACGCACACAGGTACGTCCCCTTTGCCTTTCTGGGGGGCCAGGGGCAGGGCCGGAGCTGGCCCACTGCGCGCAGTCTCGGTGCCAGCCCCCACGCGAATCCCCCTCCCCAGCCGCTGGAATAGCTGCAAACGGATGGGAAAATCTCTCTTCTTAAAGGGCAGGTGATTTTTTCTCCGGGGTGGGCTGCGCTGTCATTTCCTTGAGCTCAATTATCCATAGGAAGTCGTCCCGTTCCCCCCCCTCCTCCCTTTCCCACCGCCTCTCTGAAGATTAACTTTTGGGTTATTGTTGTTTGGCAGGTACTTTTAATTGGCTGGAAAATATTCTTCCTGTGAAGTTGCAGTTTTCTGGGGCTTGAATGAGTCCACTCTGCCATTGGCTCTGCCCAGCGCCTCCCCATTGGCTCCGCAGCCCGCGGGGGGACCGATAAGGGCGGCTATAAAAGCCCTCGGCACCGCTCCTGGTCCCCCAGCGAGCAGGAGCCAGAGGGGCCAGACAGAGCCGGGCTGCAGCACGTCCCTGAGCCTCAGCAGACTCCTTTCTGTCTCTGCCTGGGAGCGCGTATCCAGATCCACGTCTTTGCTCAAGCCGAAGTGGAAGAAGAGAGGGAGATACACACATACACCCATATTAAAAAAAAAAAAAAAAAAAAAAAGCCAAAAATCCCACCCCCAAAAAAACCACACTTAGCGGAAACTTGTCAGAGAATGCTCCTAAAGTCTGGCTTTCTCCTGCTGCTGGTGATCAGTGCATCCGCATCCTATGAAGCTGAACAGAATGACTCTGTGAGCCCCAGGAAACCCAGGGTTGCAGCCCAGAACTCAGGTAACACCCAGCAAGGAGGGCTTTGAGCCTGAGCCCTGATGTGTTAAACTGTCTCAGATCTCTCTACTGCTGCTTTCTTCTTTCTTTTTTTTTATTTCCTTTTTTCTTTTTCTTTTTCTTTTTTTTTTTCTTATAAACTTAATGGCTCGTAGGAAGAAATATGAATTTAAGGGGCTGAATCAGGATATTGGTGCATAGCTGGAGAAGGAATCTTCTCCTTTCAGGAGCTGGGGCAGGGAACCGGTGTGTGAGCTGCTTGCAGGATGCAATCCATTCTCTCTCCTCCTCCCCCAGCTCCTAAATGAGTTCCATGTACTTTTTCTTCCCCTGCCTGCATGTTTCCTTCTCTCTTCTCCAATTGCAGCTGTACTTTGGTGTTAAATTCCTTGCTTTTTAGGAAGTTGATAAAAATCCGTGGCAATTTGATGGAACCATTGTTCTGCCAAACATCTGCCTATTCAAAGAGGGGGAGAGAGAAATGCGACTTTGAAGAATGCAGTAACCTAGAAACTGTCCCCTGCTAGCGTTTCTTTCCACAGCCTGATTGCTATCAGTTCGATGGCCCCATAAAACAAATCCGATGGTGATATTTAACAAACTTGCTTTTAGAATGGAGAGAAAAATCGCTGGCAAGTCAGCTCTGGATGGCTCCACTTTGTGCACTAGAGATGCTTAAGATAAGTTGGACACAATGTCTTGAACAATGGGGATTAAAAATCTGTCTTCTAGTGTACTGAAAAGATATTAGGTCTCTTAATTTGGAGCTTATTTTAGCTCTGCAAGGCTCTGCAGCATTATCCTAGGGTGTTTGCTCAATTTCCTTTTGTATTTGGTTGCTATAGAAACATAGGGTCTCACTATTGCACCGTGCCTAAAACAATAAAAGCTTAATGCAGACTAAGTCTGCTGCAAGCAAAGTTCTAATTTGAACCTGTGGAAACATAATTATGGGAATGGCTCGGGCGATGGTGAGGTTATGAACTGGGGAAGAGGATGAGCTGACTAAATATTTCTCCCTTCAGGCACGTAAGCAAGAGTGGAGAATGAGGAGGGGTTAACGGGGTGATGTCTTAAAATGCTTTGTATTTTCTCTTCCTTTCTGTGACGCTCCTGGTTAGCTGGATGTATCTTTAGGCTACAACTTAGCTCTCAGGAAGGTGTGCTCGCTTCCACGAATGCAGATCCTCACTTTTCCCACACCTCGGATCGCGATGGGAGACACTGGCTTTGCATTTCTTCCTAAAGAATGTCTCGTAACGTGAGCTGCGAAAGTCATGAATATGCCTTGCACGGGCACATAAGGGGGCAGATGTTCAGCTTCCCAAAAAAGGTTAATCCCTCCTAATTTCAGGGCAATCATGTGGCAATACTGCTGATTCATTGTTAAAATGCATAATATCTGCACTAAAAACGACAGGGTGACATGGATACCCTCCTGTGCAGACCAGCCACTGCCTCAGTGGTGTAAATTATACATAGTCAGCTTCATTACCTGTAACTTTTCCTGCCCAAATGACCTTTCTGCCTGTGCATCTTCAGCAGTACGACCCTTCTAGGCTGTGCTTGCAAACTGCTGGGTACCAGGTTAGCGTTTAGCTGCTCATTCAAGTCCTTTGTACTGTACGCACAAACTAAGATCTTATTTTTGGCTTCTTTATGCTTTGTAGAAGAGCAGAGATACCTCCAGGGCCAGCAACCCCAGCACTTCCTCACCAGAAGTGCACGTTTCATGCCAGTTTATTGGCAGCTGCCATCGCTTCAGTCTCATTTCCAAATGAGGTTTGTGAGCCAGGTGCCACCAAGCTGCTCCAACCTCCCTTTGGTCTAAGACTGTAGAGAAGACCTCGCCAGCCAGAGCTCTTCATGGGCCCATCCTCATCTCTTCTGCCTTCTTTAGAGAGAGTCTGAATGGATGCATGCCGTCAGAATGAGGTTGGGATGGACCTGTTAGTCTCCATTGAGCCAAAGACTATCAGATGTTGCCTCTCTCATAATCTGTACGTAACTGATGGAAGATGTTGGTAGTTGCCTTGAGTTCGTGGTGATCTCTTGCGTGACTTCAGTTAATAACTCCCTTTGGGCTCTTTCCTTCACCTCTCCCTCCAGTCTTTCAAAGCAATCAAGCTGGTGTTGACTGCATTGAGCGTGACCTGCCTTCACACTGGAGAAGGGCTCATGGCATCGGGTGCGTACGTCATGTTGTACCTGTTCCTCTCTCCACAGCCGAGGTGGTTCGCTGCCTGAACAGTGCCCTTCAGGTGGGCTGCGGGGCCTTCGCCTGCCTGGAGAACTCCACGTGTGACACGGACGGCATGTACGACATCTGCAAGTCCTTCCTGTACAGTGCTGCTAAATTTGACACTCAGGTACAGTACGAAGGGGACATAATACCGCGCCGTTATGCCTTCATCTGTGTGTCCTCGTGGAGACAGGGTCTGTGCAGGCTTAACCCTTCCTTTCTTGCAGCCCTTCCTGCTGCTCAGCGCCTCCTCTGAGCCATCAGTTTGAGTTTTGGCTACAAATGCATCCTTCAGGGCTATTTTCTACCGTGCATTTTCCACATGCTGTCTGCTATGTGTGAGGACTTGGCAGGGAGCGCTCTGTGGGGCGGAGAGCTAAGTTTCCTCTGCAGGAGGAAATATAAACGTTCTTCTAACAAAGTAAAGCTTCTGCCTGTGTGACCTGGCACAGGGCTGGGGTTTGAATTGGAAGTCTCTGGGCCTGGGAACGCACAGCCAGATCAGGCTCTCCAGGGCTGCAGTAGCTCGCGGTGGAATAAATAGGATAGTACCAGAGGGACTGTGGCTCTGCCAAGGGCCCTCTTCCTTTCTGCTTTCTTCCCAACGTATGCTCTCGCTCCCAAGGACAAAACTTAAAAGCTCTTAAAGCATCCTGAGGTCTCAGTGAACCAGATGCATTCAACTGCTGGTATGTGCTGGTGAGTGGTCCAGCCCCATCCCGGAGGGCAGGACTGGCCCATCCCCTGGTGCTGGCACTCTTAGGTCTCTTCATGCAAAGACTTCCGTTGCCTAGATCTTTTGGGAACTGGAGCTCACTGTCCTCTCTGGACTTGTGCTTCCCAACTGAAACTGCCATGGATGATAACTATGCAATAATTATCATAGAATCATAGAACGGGTTGTGTTGGGAGGCACCTGAAAGTTCATCCAGCTCCAACTCCCTGCCATGGGGCAGGGACACCTTCCACTAAAGCAGGTTGCTCCAAGCCCCTGTGTCCAACCTGGCCTTGAACACTGCCAGGGATGGGGCAGCCACAACTTCCTTGAGTGTTTAGGGTCCAGTTCCCTGCTGTGCCTGGTAAGAGACCTCCAGCAGGTCTATAATTGCAGCAGGGGTAACTAATAGCAGCCAACCACAGTGGAGTATCTCTTCATACATCCCTTGCTATGAAATCTGTTGCAGTTGAAGGTTTTTCTTCTGTTTCCAGGGAAAAGCTTTTGTGAAGGAAAGCTTGAAATGCATCGCGAACGGGGTTACGTCCAAGGTGTTCCTGGCCATCCGGAGGTGCTCCACGTTCCAAAGAATGATCTCCGAGGTGCAAGAGGAGTGCTACAGCAAACTGGACATGTGTGGCATTGCGAAACGGAACCCTGAAGCCATCACGGAGGTCGTCCAGCTCCCGAATCAGTTCTCAAACCGGTAAGTGGAGCTTCTTCCCTCAGCTGAAATGCATCAAATGCAGTAACGTGAGACAAATGAGAGGAACCAAACTGACTAACTTCTTAAAGTCCTACTATAGCTCTTTGCTTTTTCAAGTCCCTGTTCAGTTTTACAGGCATTCTTCTGATTCTCCCTTTGGTAAATGCATTGCTAAACACCTCCAGGGGAGAATCCTAAAGTGAACTAGACACACATTACTTCAAAGCCTGGAGTTTGTTTAAGTGTTGGTTCTTTCAGTCTAAATGCAGAATTATAGGCAACAGAGCTTTCAAATACCAAGCCCATTTTGATCAATGTAGCATCTCTGGCACACTGAGCGCTTCAGAGCTTTACAACCTATTGCAACTTCATTCACTCCTTCAGATTGCAGTCACCCCCTGCCTTGGGTTTATTTGGGACCTGGCAAATGAGAGCTTGCCCTCTGGCTTACCATGGCAGTACGAAGCACAAGGAAAGCTTAAAGGGAATCAGCAAACATGCTCCTCTCTAACCTTATTCTGCCATGGTCCGGTAGTTCGTATTTCTAGGGATAGGCTGGTGTGCTTTAAGGTCTCTTTTAGGGTTTTCTTCACCCCTGTTCCTTCTTGCCTGCAGAGATGGGCATGTCATGCTGCTCTCTGGCACTTTTATCTGAGCACTGAACTGCCCTGTCCCCATCCTCCAAGGACAAGGGACAGAGAGAGGCTTCAGCGAGCTGCTGCAGTCTGCGCAGTCATGCTGCAAGGGCAGGATTTCTTCCTCTAAATCCTGGAACAATCAGTGCTGAGTCTTGTGATTGGGATAAAAGGGATCTTCTTGAACACTTTGTGTAAATACGCTCTAGAATTTGAGTGCAAACAGACCAAGCTGCAGTTTAACATGTTGGCTGGCTTGTGGTGAATGCTACAGCTCCTCTGGGGTGGCTGTTTGACTTGCTCTAGAAGCATCGTACGCCTCTAGACCTATCCTAGGGCAGGCATGCAAGTGATGTATGGGTGCTGCATCTCGGACCAGTATCAATTTATTATGGCAAACTCTATTGTAGGTGTTATATTCAGAAGATTATACACGTGGGAAGGTGAAAATTACATTTGTGTGTCTTTTCCCTCTTCCCCCAAGCAAATTAGGAAGAGGTTTGCTTCAGCATTCACCCAAGGGCTGGGCTGAGGAGCATGGAGCACTGTGGCATCAGAAAGAGCAGTTCAGGTTAATCTGATGGGCTGTAGAGTTAAAACAGCCTTTGGTGGGGCCATAGGGGCACCAGGGTGAAGGGGAACATGTGGCCACTTGGGCCAGGGGGGATGCGGTGGTAGCAGCAGCAGCGTTACACGTGTTGGGGATGTTCCTCTCCAGAGGACCAAGCCTGAGCAGGAGCTGCTGTCTCCCCAGGCAGAGGGAACTCCTCCCCCACCACCGCCAACCCTTCTTGAAGCCAGAGGATATTATGACATGTTGAGTAACAAAAGCAGCAGGATTTCCCAGCTAATAGTTTACATTGAGGTCTTCTAAAGCATCCTGCTTTCCCAGCCCCTGTCCCAACATAGCCACAGAATAAGAATGTGCCACTTGGCCTGGGACACTGAGAGGAAGTAGTTAAAGGTCATAGCATCTTCCTGTGATTTAATCTCATGGCAGGAGCAGGAGGAGAGGAAAGCCTTGTTGCCTTGGCTTGCAGTCTAAGGCACTAGCAGGCTGTTTGATTGCAGCTCCAGCTATGGAACCACCAAGCCGCATCTGTATGAAGGAGGTGGAGGCAGCGCAGCAGAGGAAGGTGGATGGGATCTGCTCCTCTTGTCCTGTTAGGCTGGGACTGATTTAAGCTGGATGCGTGGCTCGCACAGATGTATTCATCATCAACCACTGTGCACGCTTCAGACCCGGGTGTTAGCACTGCCAAGTGTGCTTGCTCTGTGCTCCCCCGTGCCAAAGCCTGGTCCTTTTGTACTTCAAGAGCAGCAGAAACTTTAACCTCACCTGACCTCCACTGGCTGCTCTAAAGGCCAGAGCTGAGAGCTAGGAAAGAGTTTGAATGTGAACTCTCATTTCCCTCTTCCTTCCCCTCCTCCACCTGCAGGTTATTCTCTGCTCTGGTGGAAAAATGTCACCGTGACCTTAAAGGCTTAAAATAAGTTCCCCGATGTCCTTCCAGGCAGGAGTAGCCCAGCAGATATGGGACTGGTCTTCTTCTCCCAACTTTCCCTCCCTAGGAAGATGCTCTCTTGTACAGTGAGGTGCCACTTGTGATTTAAATGCATGGTCACTGAGTGTGTGTCCCGCAGATCTGTCCCCAGGGAATACATGCATCTGTCAGGCTTGTCCCTCTTCTGGTCCCTTGCTAAAGGCTGTGCATGGAAGGAAGGGAGGGGGATGAAAGGGAATGGTGCCACAGGGGTGGATACGTTTGTGGGAAGGGTTGCACTGCCTCAGACCAGTGGTCTGCTTAGTTTGTGATCTGGTTTGGTGATGGGCAGTATCTATCAGAGAGATGCGATTATGTTTTCTCCCTAAAGATCTAGAATCTCGGGTTGTTCAGCAGAGAGTAAAGCACACTCTGAAGTCAGTTTTTTGTCTTAGCTCCTCACTCCCAGCTTTTTCCCGCTGCAGCAAGGTAACACCAAAATCACTTGTGCTTCCTTCTGTGTGTCATGAGCACATACATGAGCATCTTCAAGTCCAGGGCATTTGTCAGACGCAGTGAGAACACATACATCGTCACTGTCAAAGATCAATGTCAAACACACCCTGGATGCCTTAAAAAACCTGATTCTCAGTGTTTTGTCACTTGAGATCAGCTCCTCCCTTTGTTTCTTTCATCTTCATAGAATTATACAATCACAGAATGGTTTGGGTTGAAGGGACCTTAAAGCTCCTCCAGTCCCAACCCCCTGCCCCGGGCAGGGACACCTTCCACTGGAGCAGGTTGCTCCAAGCCCCTGTGTCCAACCTGGCCTTGAACACTGCCAGGGATGGGGCAGCCACAGCTTCTCTGGGCACCCTGTGCCAGCGCCTCAGCACCCTCACAGGGAAGAGCTTCTGCCCATGAGCTCACCTCAGTGTCCCCTCCAGCAGGTTAAAGCCATTCCCCTTGTCCTGTCCCTTGTAAGAAGTATCTCTCCAGAGTTCTTGTAGGCTTTCTTTAAGTATTAGAAGACTGTTAAAGGTCTCCCCTTCAGGAGCTTTCTCTTCTCCAGGCTGAACAAGCCCACCTCTCTCAGCATCTTTGTGTCCTCCTCTGGACCCACTGCAGCAGCTCCATGTCCCTCTTGCTGGGAGCTGCCTTGGAATAACAGCTGGTACCTCTTGTGCAGGTATTACAACAAGCTGGTGAGGAGCTTATTGGAGTGCGACGAGGAGACCGTCAGCACCATCAAGGACAGCTTGATGGAGAAGATCGGCCCCAACATGGCGAGCCTCTTCCACCTGCTGCAGACGGACCACTGCGCCCAGGGCCACCCGCGCGCCGACTTCGCCAGGAGACGTCTCACGGAGCCGCAGAAGCTAAAACTCTACTTCAGGAACCTCCGAGGTGAGGGGCCGGTCCCGGCGCACGCGAAGCGCAGCTCCGCCGAAAGCGCGTAACGCCGCGGCCATGGGTGTTAAGGGATGCTAAGTGCTACCAAAGCTGAAGTCTCTCTTCTAGAGGAGTAACACACCCAAACCACGTGTACTGTAGCTAGTTTTAATCACGACTAGGACCTGGTTTTAGAGTTAGTCTTTAGTTCTTTTCTATTCCTCTCGAACGAAACGTTTTGCATGGAGCCGTGTTCAGTGTCTCAGCTTTCCCGCCATCCAAATATCTCCATCTCTTTTCTCCCCCACAAAAAGACACCCCAAACGATCTTAGTCTTAACTATAACCGTACAGTAGTCAGGCCTTCAGACACCAAACTCTAAATGTACTGTAGCACTAACACCGTTGAAGTCTGAAGATTTGGCACCAAGGAGAATAGCTTGTTCTCTCTTGTAGTAAGCTGGTAGGAGACGATAGATGCACTAATAACTATTGCACATCCTAAAGATGTCAATGGAATTCGTGTTATGAATCTGTGCTGGCCATGGACGAATATGAATGTCATATTCCTGGTCTCTTAGTGTCATACAGTCCTAATCCTTCCAATACAGCTCTGTTAACCCATTGATTTACCAAACTCGCTAGCTGTGGATGATTCTAGTTACCGTGACCTGGCACCACGGTGCAAAATGAGTTAAAACTACCCCACGAACACACACCAAATCAGGAAAGGAGCATTTTGTACTATGGAAGTGATTAAAAGAGGTGCCAGTCGATGGTTGAAGCTAGTCAGAAGGTTACATAATCTTGCATTGTATTTAAAAGCTAACATCTATGTACTGTATTTAACTGTCTAAAGCTTTAAAAGAAATCTAACAGAAACATACCCTGTCTTAAGACTAGAGTATTAAAGGTCTTGCTCTAACTGTGGTATAAATAGTTTTAAACTCTGTCATGTACTGTACATAAATTCCACGAGAGTCTGCTTAAAAGGAGCAGAATAGAATAACTTTGTTGCATAAACTTAGTTTTGTAAGTTAGCTATTTCTTTTCTTTCCTGGAAACAGCTTCTCTGTCATATTCAAGAGTTCACGTTCTACTCTGTGGCCTTTTTATAATGGAAGAGAGAAAAATGTTGAGGACAGAAATTACAGGGCCAGAAAGATGCCTCTCTTCTCATAGTTAAAATCGAAGGGAAAGAATGAAAGAATTGTTCCGACTGGCCAGTTACAGGCTCATAGAACAGTTTGGGTTGGAAGGGACCTTCAAAGCTCATCTAGTTCCAACCCCCCTGCAATGAGCAGGGACATCTTCAACTAGTTCAGGTTGCTCAGAACCACATCCAGCCTGGCCTTGAATGTCTCCAGTCCTGCCTTGAACATCTCCAGTCCTATATCCACAGAGGAGCTGTGAGACCCAAGGCAGGAGTGCTGCTGCTGCAGAGCTCTTTGGCCTGACAAAAAGCTGCCTTGGGATCCTAGAGCTTCCTTTAGAAAGTTGATTTCTGGGGAGAGGCAGGAAAACCCCTTCCGTTCTCCTCAGCTTCGGAAGCAAAGCAGTGAGCCTGCCTTTGAGAGGCACGGTGCTCTCCACCTGCCTTCCTTCCATCCACCCCTTGAGCAGCCTCGGTGAGGAGGAGCGGAGCAGGAGGTCCCGTGCGGTAGCTGGGGCCCTGCAGCCGCTCTGCACAGTAGCCTGATGGGCTTCAGCCAGCCAACAAAGCCACATTGTGGCATGCAACCAACAAGGCCAGTTCCACGCTCCAAATCCATCCCGTTAGAGTCCGTCTGCAGAGTGGATGACTCTTGCTCAACTAGTAGAGAGCTAATAAAGGAGGGATCTCTTTTTCTTTTCAAAATCTAAAGCAATATAACCTCTTTTCTTTCTTTCTTTCTTTTTTGTTTAAACCACAAAGCCTTTAAACAATAACTTGCTGCTAATATATTGAAACCAGATGCAGTGGCAGCATTTCTAATATTGCTGTCTTCATTAAATGTAGCCCAAAAGTGCTGTCATAAAATTGCAAGCAGCAAAAAATGTTGCTGACGGTAGAAGGTTCTTGTTTTACTTTATTTGTTTAATACTCTGAATCGTGCCGTCCAGGGCAAGTGAGATGCAATATTGCTTGTTCTTAAATCATAGACTCAGAGAAGAGTTGGGGCTGGAAAGGACCTTCAAAGGTCGTCATGTTCCAACCCCCTTACAATGAGCAGGGACATCTTCAACTAGATCAGGTTGCTCAGAACCACATCCAGCCTGGCCTTGAATGTCTCCGGGGATGGGGCATCTACCATCTCTCTGGGCAATCAGACAGGTATATGTAGAGTCCAACACCAAGAAGTTTTGCAAGGTGAAAACCAAAGCCCCCTTGAATATCCTGACCCTGAAAGTCTGACTTATACTTAGGAACTGATCCCAGAACTGTGTGTGTGTGACTTCCCACCTCATTACACCTCACACTGCACTGCTGGGAGATGGGCATTGCTCAATGGGGATGTCCTGCTGGGGTTTGTGCATCAAGTGCATGTTGCTGTGTGGGGAAATAGTTACTAAGAGGTCTTTACCTGGCTTGGGGCAGCATCCAAACACCACCTGGGTGGGTGCACTGGCGTCGCAAAGCAGCTCCTGGTTTGGGTCCCCATGGCCAATGTGGGCTCACACCAGCAGAGCTCATTAAGGACATCGAGCAGCCACGGTTTTCCATGGAGATGCTCCTCAGGGCAAGTGGCTTCTCTGTTGCTTTGTGCATCCCTTTCTATGAAAACCCAAAGAAAGTTTATAAAGGTGGTTGACGGTTCATTTACTCCAAACCCCAGAGTTAATTACCCCAAACCCTACCTCTTTGGGTTGTCATAGCTAACATTCTTGTTCCAGAAGGAATTTAAACTTCTTGTCTCCCAAGCTTGTTGTCCCCTTCCTTGGCAGAAAGATGAGCGGGAAGATAATTCCCCCGGATCCACTGTGCTCTGGCGTGGCAGGTAACCGCGACCTGTGCACGCCAGAGCTCTGCCTCTCCGCGCCAGCACTGCCGTTGAGCACGTTTCTGAGCTGCTTTAATAAGTCACTTTTCTTTCCTCTGCTGAAGTAGCAAGGAAGCCACAAGCACACGTCCACCACGTCAGAGGGCCTGGGGGTCCCCTTGCCTAATGTTGGGCTAAGCTGGTGATTTAAAGCTCTCTCTGACCAGGAGAGGGGACAGGAGGTGCAAGAGGCGCTTCCCATCAGCAGGGGAGGATGCCTGGGTGTGGATGGTTTCAACTGGGTGCAAGAGGTCCCCTGGGGCTGGGGGATGAGTCTCAATATCACGTCCAGATATTTCACCTTTCATTTCATCTCTAATGCTTTATTTTTTTAACCTTGCATTCATGGCAAAGTGTTTTCTCTCGGGGGTGGGGAGGGGCTTCTCTAGAAACGTTTGCATGATTCTCATTGTGATTTGTTTGCACTTTAGATGTTTTGTGCCATTATAAATTTGCATTATTGTATTTATAATTTAAAGATACTTAGAAGAGGGAGAGAGTTTGGGGTTTTTTGGGTTTTGGTTTTTTTTGCTGAGTACTGGAATAAACAGTGAGCATATCTGGTATATGTCATTATTTATTGTTTAATTACATTTTTAAAGCTCAGTGTGTTCATATAAAGGTTATTTGAAACATATCATAGTAATGAGAAAGATGCAAGTTATTTTCTTTGCTTATTTTTATAATTAAAGATGCATAACATAATGAGGCCTATGTTGGATTTTCTTCTGCGATGAAATAAAATGTCAAATTTAAGGGGTTTTGGTGTCTGACTCTTTCATTGAACCTTACTGGGGTTGCTGATGGTGAGAGTACCAACAACAAGTTGCTACGCTTACCTTTGACTGAACATCGTGGCTTTTATGTCTCTTCTGGATGCTGAATGTCTCGGGTTTGGATGTTGGGGTTGTGGGTGACATGAAGGCAGGGTTCATCACTTACAAGCTGGACAAAATAGGGGTGAGTGTGGAGTAAAGGATTCCTGATGTTCAGCATCTAAACCACTATGCTGACTGTGACTGGAATAATACATCTGGTCTGACCAAGACCTGTAACGTCCAAGGGCAACTGGAAATCCCAGTGCTAATAAAGCTCCTGTGATGGGTCTCTGACAGCAGCCTGACCATGTAACTGTGTCATCTTCACCCTGGACCCATTTGTTAGTCAATGCACCCATAACACCACTGTCTTTGCTGTACATGGAAACGTGCATTTGCACGTCATTCAGGAAAGCTCTAATTTCCAGGGGAACACCAAAACCAGTTTAACAATCACCAGAGGAACACGGGCAGCCTCATCCAGACTCATTGCTCCAAAAGCTACTGCAAAGTTCAAATACCATTTCCCGCACCATGTTGGAGGAAGACTTGTTCAAGAGAATCAATGAATAAATATTAGCAATACAGTTGGATTAAAAGAAATCTCTACTTCCTCTTGCTTTGGCCAGGAACTTCGGAATCACCTTACCAGAGGCTATTCAAACTTTGCTTTTATTGAAATCCCATCTTGGTCAAAACTGAAGTTCATTCTGAGGCCCAGTAAGTCACCAAAATCAGGATTTATCATTCTTTGCAGACAACTAAGCTGCTGTGCTTCACAGCAGTGAGAACTGACGAGCCCAAGTGGCTTGGGAATGGATGTCACCCTCTGGCTTTTTAATTTGCTTTTCCATGAGGAGGAGTCTCCAAATCACTTGTGGAACCTGTGCCTCCACTCACCTAACTGTAAATCACTGCCTGCTCAATAACACCCCCTCTTACCAGAAGCCAAAGCAGCAAAGGGAGCAGAGAAATGACACAGAAATTTAGGGATAACCATTACATTGCTAGAACCCAAGGCAGTGAACATTGCTGCTCTTGGATAAAGAATACTTGGGAAGGGTACGGATGCCATGGCTCCAAAAGCTGGCATCTACAGCTCTCCTGTAATGAATAATGGCTATAAAATCATTACTGTCGATGCAATGTACCATTCACACGAAATGTGCATCAATCTCAGCCTGCGTGGCTGCCCTCCTGGTAACCCACATCCATTCTTGGAGATGCGGGG